ACAATGCATATTATTATTATTATTATTATTTGCGTCCGAATACAAACGTATTTGAAATCGAACTCATGACAAACCATACCACATTCGGTTTGCTTTTTGTTCGTCTATTAAACGGAACATGCTGCATATCGATACATGAAGCACAACTTTAGTAGGCAATAAAAATGCTCCAATGAATGACAATTGCTTGTCTTCCTAAATAGCTCCAACCTTACAAATACGTTATGGCAAAGAGGCATAGATCTTACGGTCTATCGTTTTGTTAGGTGAATATAGTGTAAACACAGGGCATTACTGAATGGGAGCTGTCAATTTGCACTCTCTGAACTTGTATATTCGAATGTAAAGATGATGCCCAAGTTGATTAAATGACTTTCAGTATTTGTCATCATCTTTCTGACTACGTGTTTTTTTAAACAGTATTTAACTATTGTTCGTAAACTGGATGCTCATATTTTTAAAATGTTTCTAAGACAGACTGTTCCTATCGTAAACCAAAGCAACGTTCCTCTTCATTTCCTTCACTGATGTGCCCCTAGCCTAGTTGGCATCATGCTGGATAACGGCGCAAGTTATCCTGGTTTGAAAGCCTGACGGGGCTTCTTTAACTTAGGCTGTTTGCTTTGGAATATGATTAGAACAATTCATAGTTTCAACTCCAATTGCCACCTAAGTAGCTTATCTTTTTGTCTCACCCACATTTTGCAATCTTTCTTTGTCGTTGTCTAGGATTAATGGGGAAAAGCAAGTTGACGCCAACAACAAGTTCAATTCCTTCAACAAACACAACAGCCCCTACGCTAAGATCATCAAGGAAACCAGATACAGCACACGAGGTGAGTCTACTGTAGTGTTTTGAGCAACATTCATCATGTCTTGCCTTTGTGTATGTAATGTTGAACTAAACGTTCTCGCTTTCTGTTTGGATTTGGGAACAGGAATAAAGGTCCAATCTTGTCTGCACTGGGGTGAAAAGTTCATTTTTTGCAGCTTCTTACCGCACGACGGTGCAAAATGGTGTAAATAAATTTGCAAGCTGAACTTTACAATATTGTCCCTGAGAACGACTGATAGTAATATACTACACGATGACGTATTATAATATCCAGGTATTACTTCCTGTGATAGCCCGCCTCCAATTACCCCTTTCAAAAGGGACTCTAATCCCCGGAAACGAGCCGCAAGAAACCCTGGTCAGAACTCTATCCCTGCAGATTCGCCCCGTCGTCTGCCCCAGCACACACATGTACTCGTGTACCCAGAAACTCCTTCGCCTGCAGCCGTCTTCCAGACACTTGCTCAAGACCTGGTTTCCTGTCTGCGGGTCAGACTGTCTTGTAGATTAATTCAACTGGATTCCTGGTCGTGTTTGACCAATGAGTGGGACTTCAACTGGCCGCACAAAGAGCTTGTTGGTTCTGTATGAAGTCTGTGACGCACGAAGAAATCGTGACTTGGTTTTGTGTGGACCTTGAGTAGAAATTTAAGGCTATCACAAGGGCCTTCCTTGTCCCATTGATCTCTTGCTCAGGGATTCTTGATGCATACAGTTCTGTGGGTTGGTTGAGCAATTGCTTGTTCTTCTTTTTAGCTTTTCCATTAGCTGAACGCTGCTTTTCGGACCTTTCTGCAATAAAACACTGTCTCCCTTTCCATTTTGCCTGCCTTAGTTGTTATGAGCACAACCCAGGTTTTTTTGTCCTGTTTCTGTCTTCTGTCAGGTCTTCCCCCTTCCTCTCTTGAATTCTGTCTTTTCTTCCAGAATATGTTTATCGGGTGAATCGGGGCTCCTCTTTTTCTTGCATCAAATCCATTCTTGCTTTTATACATTCACACGTATGCATGCGCGCACTCACAAATACCCGAACAAACACATACATCCGTACTTGCTCTAACATACATTCAAACGCGCAAACACATCTGCACACTCATACGGATGTACACACAAACACCCCTGCCTCTTGTGTACACGTATACATAGACACACACACACACACACACACACACACACACACACCACACACACACACACACACACAAACACACACACACACACACACGCACGCCCATGAATATATACACACGCACGCCCATGCATATCCACACACGCGCACACACACGCACACACACATACTCACACACACCCTTCACACACGTACACACACACACACACACATACAGACACACACACGCACACATTTCACATGTACATTTGGACGCGAGCGTCCACATCAATATACATGTGCTTACACGCTACCATCAACGCTAACTTACCGTTGCGCTATCGCAAAGAGAATCATGTGTTACATCAGAGATCTCTTCTGACCGTTAAAATAACCTGAAGTCTCGATTTGCCCGTTCTTTTAGGTAGATCTAGTCCTCTTAAGTAGATGCATCTACAAGAACTGTTGTGCAAGGTTTTTTGAATTTCAATTATCATTTCAATGATAAGAAAAAAGAAATGATAAATATTACACAGTGTTGTGTAAAATGATTTGCTTTTGGTTAAATTTGAGTAAAACTCGAATGATTAAAAGCATTGTATCGAAATTAGAAGATCATGAGACCTATCCTTCCTAGTACTATTCCGTCAAAGTACAGGAGAGGTTTGAGTGTTTTTTTTGGTTCTTCGTGGCCACATGGCCCTTCTAATGGCTCACTCACAAGTGCCAGAATACATGGTCCGTTCCAAGCAATCGAGGTCAGAAATGAAGGTTTGACTAACAGGATTAGGCTACAAATCTAGGAGATATCAATATCCATCTTCACGGTAACATCCAGCCAGCTCTGTCAAGGAAGATAAAATCAGCGAGAAAACAGACGTGTTCTGGGGACGCTGTTTTCTTTGCTGGGTGTGAGCGTAGATCTATGTTTTCCTCGAACCCTAGTCGTGGGTGTGGCTAATTATGAGTTTAGAATGTCACAGGCCGGCCGTATGAATATTTAATCTGGAATCAAATTATGAGGTTGTTTTTGCATTAGGTTGGCTAGCTGGTGGGTAGGAGGAGGAGAGGGAGGGGAATGGGAGAAGAAGAAGAAGAAGAAGAAGAAGAAGAAGAAGAAGAAGAAGAAGAAGAAGAAGAAGAAGAAGAAGAAGAAGAAGAAGAAGAAGAAGAAGAAGAA